AAGAATTCCGGAGTAGATTTCAGGCTTCCCAGTAGCGCTTTTTCGCTCCAAACTTCACTGGTGGATAAGTTGGGGGGTCCGCCACGGCGAAGCTGCAAAATTCCAATACCCACTAATTTGCTGGAACGCTTCCTCTAACATAGCCCTTGCGGTGCCAAGATAGAACCGCAATTTTGTGCGTAAGTGCAGGCTGTCTCTGTGCGACTTCACAGCTTTAGCGGGTTGGGCTTGCGGCTGCCTCACTCCGGTCTTACGCCGGGTTAGCATCCGTACCATCCAGGTTTTCCCACGCCTCGTAACTAATAAGGAAGGTACCTGCGCGACGGATCGAGGTGGCGGTTAGGGACCAAGTGCTGCTAGAGCAGACACGCAGAAAACAGCCTATATGCGTCTACGCGCAAATCTCCCAATAGCGGAACCGCAGGCACTATGCCTACCGTCAGATCTAATAAGCTATAGTTATTCTTACGAGTTCTAGTTTCGAGTTTGTCTAGTTGGAATCAAATGAGCGAAGCCTAACTTGATCATGTCAGTGGGTCTACCTTATCTGCACTATCAAAATAGTCTAACGACCTTTTCCAGCAATCCAACCATTGTTTCAGGCTTGTTGATGTTGGTACCGAATGGCGCTCGTTCTCCAATGAGCGTAGTGGCACAGATCCCTCTCGTGTAGGTGCTCCGGAAAATCCACTGCTTAGCGGAGGTGATCTTTCGACTAGCATTGCCGTAGGATTTGGCGCAAGTGACAGTGATACCAGGTTAGTACCATTATTTGAAAAGTTATGAATAGCTAAATGCTGAGTTTCAGTCTTGCTAATGCACAGCGGAAAAGTATGAACAACACTGATCGTCAGATGACGCAGGCTATGAGCGTGATTAGAGAAATGAGCGAAAGGATCCATCTTGCAAAAAGTATACAGGTATGTGATGTCTCGAGATTTTTCCGTGAAGTATCAGAAGATTCATTTTCAGGATCTGGCTTCTAAAACCTTCAAAGATGTGTTGGATAGTAAAGCGTTGAAAGGAAAGAATAATGAGGCTCAAGCAGCAGCTTGTCTGTACATTGCTTGCCGTAAGGAAGGAGTACCTAGGACTTTTAAAGGTGAGCCTTCTTTTTTCCCTTCACCCAAATTTTTACCGCAATTCTACATGTGCGACGTTTGTTTCAGAGATCTGTGCTGTTTCTCGTGTATCGAAGAAGGAAATTGGACGTTGTTTCAAACTTATCATCAAAAGTCTTGAAACTAATCTTGAGCAGATCACTTCGGCGGATTTTATGTCCAGATTTTGTGGAAATTTATCGCTACCAAACTCGATACAGGTAAGTGCTAAAATCTGTCATCTGCTATCTGATATGAAAAATTTAGGCTGCTGCTACACGTATCGCAAAAAGAGCTGTGGAGATGGATCTCGTAGCTGGGTATGTCTTTGAGTTTTTGTTCCATTTGCCTCAAGCCAATTCGCTATTTTCAGAAGGTCACCGATTTCTATTGCCGCGGCAGCTATTTACATGGCATCACAAGCTTCCAGTGAAAAGCGTTCGGCGAAAGGTGGTTTCGATAAGTTTCTCTCTTGTTATGTCATCAATTCGTGAGCTTTCAGACATTGGGGAGATTGCTGGTGCCGCTGAAGTCACAGTAAAGCAAACTTACAAACTTCTGTATCCAAAGGCTGCCGAGCTTTTTCCGGAGGATTTCAAATTCGTTACTCCAATTGATCAGCTTCCCACTTCATGAGCTACGTGGGAGGAGTTCGCCCTTTTCCATGCTTGTCTGTTCTAACATCTTTACTTCTAAATTTCATCCCAGTTGAGTACATTGATGTATTAGTTCACATTAGCTATTGCATCATTTGT